AGGCCCATTTAACTGTGAGGCATCCCCACACATAACGGCCATGGCCAGAGGCCACCGGCTTGGTGTTTTGTTGCCATCGGCAAATGTATATTGCCGGTCGGCATTCTTTTTACCGGTCGGCAGGCCCATTTGTCAAGATGGCAATTTTGAGCAGCCGACTACTGTTTCATCTACTTTTGCAAATATTTATTACAGCTGTATGGCATTTGTTTTCCCCTCTATACACGTGTATGGAGGGATTGGCCTTCTTGTTAGCTTACCTTGTAAGCTTTACAAGATTGGCTCCTCTATAAGAGGAGCTCCCCTCTCCCTTGCTTTAGGGTTAGACATTTTAGAGAGAAAAAAACATTGTTAGAAGCTCTGGTTCTAGGGTTAGAACTTATATACATTCTATCTCTTATATCTCTCTCTCTTGAGTGTTCTAGGTATTTTTCATAGTATTGCACCAAAACACCTACCATTACACCTCACCTTGACTATTGAGGTTTCTAAAGGATTTTTTCAGAGTTTTGGAGGCTGGTTTGGAGGCTTAAGGAGCTGCTGGAGCTTCATTTGTGAAGGAGTCTTCAAGTAACAATCTTGCCCTTTATTTCCCCATTCTTGCATATATTTTTTCCTATTTTAGAACTGTTTTTGAGCTTAGTGTATAATATAACAAAGTTCTATTTTTGGGCCCTCTAAATAGTTTGTTTAGAGTGTTTTGTGGTTTGGAGGTGTTTGACCCCTCTTAGGCCTTGAGAGGCCCCATTTTGTGCTTATTTGAGTGAGCTCCGGGACCTTGTGTTTGGGCCTCCTCAACACTGAAATCTTGAGGGATTCAGAAGGTGAGGATGGTGCCTGAGGTCCCTAGGGAGAGAGGGCCCCCCCTCATCCTTGTTGTCCTTGAAAAGGACCATTTTTGGGCCTCTTGAGGGAGCACCTAGCTTAAGCTTCATGTTGACCATGCCTTAGCTGATTTTTGTGCTTATTATGTCATAATATGCCTCTGTTTTTAATTTGTTTTGGTACATCCATTGCATGCTTAGCATACCTACCTTATAATGCCATGATTTGCCTCAATACATGCATAGCATTTAGACTATCATGCATTTTGTGTTTTGGCCAGCTTTGTGAAGCTTACTTGCATGATTTGGTGTGCTAAGGGACCTGTTTAAGTCATTTTGAGTCATTCATTGCCTTGCTTTGTATAGCTATCATGTAATTCCTCTCGTATGCCTTAAGCTTTGGCCCTTCTAGCATGCCATTTCTTGCATTGATTTAGTGGTTTGGAACTATCCACCATGTTCATTTCAGTCTACTTAGCATGCTTATATGCTTGCATTTTTCATGGCCCTTTGATGCTTCAAAAAGTGATGTTTCATGCTTCATGTTTGTGCCAATGTGTACGCCTTTAGGATTAGGTCATTTAGATGCCATCTAAGTGGTTCTTAAGGCTTACTTTTGCCTGATTTGGACTGTTTTGATTCAATTTGGTCATTTGCTTCATGAGTCATATGAACATGTTTTAGGTCCTTGGGGCTGGTTGCATGCATAGCTTGCATTGGTAGGTTGATTTGGAATCATTTCTACATTGTTTTCAAGGCTTATAATGCATGCCATGTGTCCATTGTCATGCCTCTTTCAAGTGTGCACTTGAAGATTTGCCCTTTTGTGCTTGAGGGTAGCCCCTTTAACAATGTGCATGTATATATGTGTGTTTAGTCCCCATTTCATAGCACTTATGGCCACTGTTTGGGCCTAATTTAGAGCTGCCTAAATCATGCTTACGTCCATTCCTTTGCTTTGCTTGCATGCTTATCTCGCATGTTTGTTTGCATGCTCGTATGTACATCTTGCATTCCCATGTTGCATTCTTGCTCGCAATGCCATAGGTCGCATGCATCTAGTAATAGCATGTCTTGTTCCTTGATCTAGTGATAGGAATTGGGCTTTTGTTTGTTTGGTTTGCGTTTTGCATTTGACATCGAAACGTGCACGCTTGGTTCTTGGGCCATCACGCATTGAAATGCCCGATTGGTGGTCCGAGAACCAAGGACCATGTCCCTTTGAGTCATACACGTGAAAAGGGGCTTGGTAGTGGCATACATTGCTTGAATTGCATTGCCATGCAAAGTCCTGTCCTCTGCTGCTGTTCAAAACAGGTTCTGCAGGCAACTTTCTGCCAATCACTGCATAGAGTGCGCGACCCGGCAACCCATCGATGGCCGATGGAAGCATTCTTGGCCGATGACCACCAGATCACAGCCGGTGATGATTCCTTCCAGCGGTGGGCATTCCCCAGTATCCAGAGAAGCAATTTCTGAGACTTTGGATAGCCTTCAGAGGAGTAGAGCAGGGAAAACAGAGGTAGATTGCGCATGGCAGTGAACTCCCGAGCAAGACCGAGCATGCATTGCATGAGCATCTCTCTTCCAGAGGCGTGTTTACTTGTTTTCCTAGCTTAGTTTAGTTTGTTAACTAATTAGGTAATTTGTAATAATTAATTAGCTTGGATAGTTAATTATTATTGGAATTATTTGTATTATTCTTTTGGTCCCTCTGAGCGAGGGCGAATCTGTAATAAGTGTGGGTGCGTGTGTGTGCATGTCTTCCAATCCCCACTTCTTTCTTCCCTTTTACTTACCTGCTTTGATGGTTAGTAATAGGACATGTTTAAATTAGCATACCTTATGCTACGCATGTGTGCATCCATACATTTGTCTTGCATGCACCGGGCTCGGTACATCATGCTAACTGCATTTGTACTTCAATTCCAAATTGAATACGTGCATCAATTGATCGCATTTCACATGCCATGTTTAGGTTAGCCGAGCCTACTCTAATTGCATCTTGTATGTGTTGCATTAGTCAATTTGGCATGAACTAGGACCATGCATGTTGGCTAACTAGTTTATTGTTTTGTCTCGGAGTACTCGGTAAGCATTTATGCTTTAGCATATCGCATGCGTGTGAATGCTATCATGACAGCATGCTTACCATGTGGCTAGATGCTTATGTGATAAACTATTTGGATGCTGTGGGTGAAGGTTGGATTGTCTGAGTTGGAAAAACTCGTTGAAATCCGTATTTTAGCCTACTTGCGAGTAACAAATTCCAAAGTGTTTTTCAAGACAAACGGATATGCAATACTTATTTCCAAAATTAGGCAATCTAGTCTATACTTGTGTGCTGTGCGCATAACATAGTAATTATAGGCTAATAAATGGAATAAGAACACATAACATTTTCAAAACTGGATATCATGGTTAGTAGAGGCCGATTTTCGGATTGGGCGAGAGGGGGTGCTCATAGCTGACCTTCCCCAATCGTACACAAGTTCCCGAGCCGAGGCAACTTTGGTGATGACGGACACGTGGCCTTTGGCACTGAGTTAGGGTTTCCTAAATTTCCCCTTAAAAAATATTTAGGTGGCGACTCTGTATCTGGCAAAGCAGTCCATGTTTGGCAGTTCTTTTCAAAAATCCGTTTCTCAAAACGATTTGCCGGATTTGGACTCTTTGGTTCAGATTAAGGACCGTGACACAAATCGAGTCCGAACTGTAGCGAGGGCCCCCACGCGGGAGCGTCGACAGTTTCTGGCGACTCTGCTGGGATTTAGAGAGCTTGACTCGAACTCGTGATATCCTGTTTTGATTTCATTTATGTGTCTCTTTGCATTGCATGTGCATTGGTACGCCTAGGACACCGTGTTTGCCATCTGCCATTCCTAAACGGTTTGCCGGAGGCTTGTCTTGTCAAGGCATGACCATAAGGTTGACCGGTTATGGGCTCTGACAGTATGGGAACACAAACCCCGGTTCTACCGGGGCACCCTTTTCGACCATTCGACCTAGTGCATATCGAAATCCATAGTGACCATTCCAAGCTAGGACAGGTTGCTTACCCGATGTTAGGTTGTTTGAAAACTGCTGCGTGCATAGTAGAACCCTAGCTCCTGACAAAATAGGACAGGGAAACCCTACCCCAACATAGGGGTGTTTTGGCTCTCTTTACCTGCTATGTGCTTTTAGAATGTATCCCTACAGGAACGTACATATCAGTTTGCAAGATTGAGTATTAGACCTGAGGGCATCAGTATCAGTTTATGAGAATCAGTTATCTGCGGGTATCAGGTTCAGTTTTGGGAACAGTGATTCTGGGGAACAGTGATCGGCAATAAAGTGCAGTTGTTCGGCTACACCTGTGGTTGATCTGTTTGGGATGAAATACTGCTTGTTTTTCCTTTCAGTTCAGAGTATCCAGAGAATTGGTACAGAATAGCTAGTGTTCCCCTTTGATTGAGGCAGGACTTATGACGACGCAGAATTCAGAAGAGATTGTGGTTATCACAGCTACGCTAGATCAAGGGATCACCCCGCGGGATGAAACCAATGTTGATGTATCGCACCCGCCTAGGTCACCTGTCACACACCCAGTCTGGGCCCCCCAGTTGTATCAGGCTCGTGAGCCCACCACCATTGAATTGATGGGGATGATAGGTGATCTCCAGAGATTCGTGGCCGATCTGGCCTATGGAATGTCGACTTCGACACCAGCGGCACCGTATGCCGGGAATTTCATGCCACAGGAGCCCCCGTTACTGGGTCGGATTGTGATAGAGCTCAGCCAGCCAGAGGTGGCTTCCAGCTACAGCCACGACATATCAGCAACAACCGGGCTTCGCTCTGAAGTAGTAACCCAAACCCTTGACTAGGCTGAGGCCAGAGATAAGAACAAAATGAAGGCAGATGCCGATCCTATTGAACAACTGCTGCGGGCCGTCGAGGCTTTGAAAGCCGGGGGGATGAATAAGCAACAGATATCCGCAGTTGTGGCAAAAACTGTGGAGGATGCTTTCCCCACTCCACCTGAGGGTAGTTCAAGTCAGTCGGAAAATCGGGATAGGCCCCGTCATGCCAGAACAGTTCCTCCTATTCCCATAACAATGACGGGAGTGAAAATCTTGTCCATTAACTTCTTACACACATATAGAATCATCATTCCAACCCCTAAGTGACATGATCATGAGGGTATTTCACACATCCTAAGAAGAAGAGTTATGGGAGTTAATTGAGATAGCCTTATACATACCTTGTGCTTAAACTTCCTCAAATTCCCAACCTTTTTGATGATCTCCTCCCTCTACCCTTCAATTTCTCTCTCTCCTCATCTTCTCTCAGAAGATATATGATTCCTAAGTCTTAAGGTCAATAAGACTCTTATAAGCATGTATATATATATATATATATAAAGCTTGAATAGGGACGAAAATTAATCGTTTAAGCATCCCCAAATTGAAATTTCACAGAAGCGCTTAATATTACCTAAAAATTATACTGATTACATATGTGAAATCAATTTCGGATAATTAAGCCTCTAAGGCTTCCAATTTCTGATTTAAGCATTCTCATGTAACAGATACTTGTCTTGTTAAACAGATAAACTCCCTTAAACATGCCTTAAACATGGAGTTCACTTTCTTATCCCTAATTTCTCATAGAATTTCACGATGAGCATTCAAAAACATAAAACAAGAACTGAGAATATATTAGAAAACTTATACGAGGGTCGGGTCATAACACTCTCCCCCCCTTAAATAAGTTTGGTCCCTCAAACTTGTTTTACCTTAGGGTAGGAACAAATGTGGATACTGACGTTGCATTTCCTCCTCTCTTTCCCAAGTCGCGTTAGTTCCGTAATGCTCTTGCCATTCCACTTTTACCATTGGAATTTCTCGATTTCGTAATTGTTTCACTTGCCGGTCCAATATGCGGATTGGTTTTTCCTCATAAGTTAGCTTGTCATCCAATTCAATTTGGTGGTAATCAATGACGTGTGACGGATCCGGAAGGTATCCGCAAAGCATAGAGACATGAAACACATTATGTACCTGACTCATAGGTGGCGGAAGGGCAACCCGGTAAGCTACCGGACCTACCCTTTCCAAAATTTGAAAGGGACCAACATAACGGGGTGCTAACTTACCCCTTTTCCCGAATCTTGAATGTCCTTTTATCGGAGTAACTTTTACAAAGACATGACTGCCCACTTCAAATTCCAAATCTCTCCGTCGGTTATCCGCATAACGTTTCTGTCTACTTTGAGCCGTTTTCAACTTTTCCCGAATAATTTTAACCTTTTCAGTTGTCAACTGAACGATTTCAAGCCCTAGCAAGGATCTGCCTCCAACTTTAGCCCAACATACGGGAGAACGACACGATCTTCCATACAAAGCTTCATAGGGTGCCATTTCAATACTTGAGTGGTAACTATTGTTGTATGCGAACTCTATCAGTGGTAAATGGGTTTCCCAACTTTCTTGAAAATCTAGCACACACATCCGGAGCATATCTTCCAGAGTTTGTATCGTTCTCTCGGATTGACCGTCAGTTTGAGGGTGGAAAGCTGTGCTAAACTTTAATTCTGTACCCATGGCTTCTTGCAAACTTTGCCAGAATCTGGAAACAAACTTCGGATCCCTATCTGATATAATTGAGACCGGTACACCATGCAGTCTTACAATTTCATTCACATAAATAACCGCTAGTTTATCCGCATTGTACTGAGTCTTCACAGGTAGAAAGTGGGCGGACTTAGTTAATCGGTTGACAATGACCCAAATAGAATTCATACCCTGAGGGGTCTGTGGTAACCCCACAACAAAATCCATGGTTAGATGTTCCCACTTCCATTCCGGGATTGGAAGGGGTTGTAATAATCCTACTGGTCTTTGATGCTCCGCTTTCACTTGCTGACATTGCAAACACTTAGAGACGAAGTCTGCAATCTCCTTTTTCATGCTTGGCCACCAAAAGTTTTGTTTCAAATCCCGGTACATTTTAGTACTTCCCGGATGCATGGAAAATCTTGAGGCGTGTGTTTCTTCCATCAATTTCCATTTAAGTTCCAACACATTGGGGACACATATTCGATTTTGAAATTTGAGTATCGAATCCACTAAACTGAACCACGATTTTGGTTTTGTCTCTAACTCATCACATACCTTCTTTAGAATGTCATCCTCCATTTGATGTGACTTGATCTCTTCAAGTAAAGTCGGTTGAGCCATTACTGCTGCTAGTACTGTTTCCTGTCCATGTATCTTAAACTCCACACTCATTTTATCCAATTCACTTACCAATTCCTTTTGCTCCGTAAACAGGTTGGCCAAATCTCCCATATTTTTTCGACTAAGAGCATCTGCAACCGTGTTGGCCTTACCAGGATGATAATGGATCTGTAAATCGTAGTCTTTAATTAACTCTAACCACTGACGTTGCCGCATGTTCAATTCCTTCTGGGTAAAAAGATACTTGAGACTTTTGTGGTCGGTGTAAACTTCACAGGTAGTACCATACAAATAGTGCTGCCATATCTTTAAAGCAAAAACTACCGCCGCGAGCTCAAGATCATGCGTGGGATAATTCTTTTAATGGGGTTTAAGTTGTCGTGAAGCATAGGCGATAACCCTTCCACCT